AACGCAGGGAGCCCATTAAGCTTTGTGCCACTGAAACATCAAAGCATTGTCATTCTAATGTGATGACGATTTCTCTTTCACTGCCATCTCAGCAACGCTGTCAAATCTGTAAGCAAGTGCTGAACACAGAAGGGAGAGAACAAGGGAAGGGAAGGACATAATTCTGCTGAAGATGGCTCCGTCTTTGCGTTCTCCACTGATTCTCTTTCTCCTTCTCAGGGGCCAAAACTATTCCATGGGGACACTGGGTGCTTCAAGCTAGAGACATCCAAGACACTCTCATCTCTACACCATGTTGTGCAAACAAGCACGCAAAGTCCAGATGACAAAAGCACTGTGAGCCAAAGCCAATTATACCAGGACCTCACTACTCACCACTGAACAAAAATGAGGCAGTTCATTTTAATTACAAACAATAAATTGCTCATTGTGGAACAACAAATGGATTTTCACCCTATTTAACATGAACTGAATCTTGTTTTTCTATTACAGTACCAACATTTCAACTTGGGATACATTCTGTCAGGTCTATTATTCCCTCTTTCCCCGAGCACCTATCCTTCACAAGTGAAGCCATCTGTGTGTGTTTAGGTGTGTGTATGTGTTTATTATCTACCTCTCAAGTCCCTGACCGGAATAATGACCTGAGCAGGTGGTTGAAGCAACACGAGACTGAGCTCCGAGGACACTAACAGAACCATGCTAAACACATGCAACTGTGCTGCAAGAACATACACCTGTGATCTGGAAACCACCGACAGTGGGAGTATGCCTTATATGACAGATGTGTGTGCATCTGAACTTTTCTGGTTTTATACAAACAGTTTTCTTATAGACATATACGAAAAGAAAAAGAGAAGACTAGATTTTAGAGGGCAACTGTTTGCCATGACACTCACACCACTGGCAATGACGCATGTTTCTTTGAAATAACATCAGCATACTGACGTCACTGAATGCCGCTCACAAATTGCTATGTAGCATGCTCGACTTGTCTGCCAGACACATTCAAGGCAAACTGGTGTGCTTATTTGTATGCACGTGTGCACACATCCTTTTCAGAATATATGAATGAGGGTACGTGTGCACATGGATACTGCATCTACGAGCATGTGCATGTACAGTATGAGCTTGCATATACTGTATTCATTGTGTAAATGTGTGTGAATTTCTCCCGCGGGGATGAGGCTTCTCCACTTTAGAGTCGGTATGTGCTGACAGAAGAAGCAGAGCCATACCACTGGCTGTATTATGAAGACAGAGAGGGAGTATAGGGGGACTGATACGGGTATCAAAGCCTGCCTCTTTGCCTTTGTGCCTTTGTGTGGTGGCCTTCAAAGACTTCCATAGCCATCCTGGCATCCCACAGGATTGGCCTCTTATATAAGAACACACCAGCCAGCATACTGCAGAGCTGGAGTGGTGCTGAGGGAGTGGGGGCGGCTGAGGGAAGGGAGAGGGGGATGTACTAAATATTCCTTAGAAATTTCCCTTTTGCATCCTGCTTTCTGAGCTCACTTCATTCTTTAAATTACGTCCTCCTACAACTTGCTTTCCCCGTTGTTCCTCCCCGTCATTCTACTAAGAGCTCTCAGTGAATAAATACATTCATACCGACATGTACTGTACTCTCTACTATGTATGGGCTAGATTTTGTGTTCCATACTATATTTATTCATATGTTCTGTGGCTATATGTATGTATGCATGGATGAACACATATGGCTGTACAGTATGTAAATAAATACAGTGTTGTCAGTAGGATAGCTGAGTGGTTAGCAAAGCTACAGTGCACTCATGCTGACGGTAATTACTGTTGATGCAAGGTAACAAACAGTACAAGTACGTAAGCTGATATCATTAGAAGTTTACCCTAAGTTTAACTTTGGTGCATGAGGTAACCTCTTTTATGAATGAAGAGATTATAAAACAGACTGAATGAGCCATTTAATCCACCAAGTCTAAGCTGCACTCTGCTGGTGCATAATTCCGTTGAGCTAAGCAGCTATGGAGGTACAATGGTCTGATGTAATGCTGCAACACATTCCTTCAGGTTTTTCAAAAGGGATAACATCTTCTTAATGTAGCACGTCCTCCTAAAGAAATGCTGTGGGAAAAAGGAAACTGAGGCAACCTCACAACATCAACAAAACTAAATCACTATTTGAATCATATGGCTTTTAATGACATTCACAGATTGCCGATAATGGAAAATATTTTTTTAATAAGGTCTTTACAGTACTGTGCTCCTTTTTCTCTTTTGTTTGTCTACCACCCCCACCAGTCAGTACAGTATCCAAGCCCTGTTTCTTGCTTGTTTTACACATAGTTTGTCTTTGCCATGTAACAACCAAGCAATATAATTTCAGACGTGTGGGGAGATATCTTTCTTTCACAGTTTGTTATTTTATTCAGAGTTGTATTCACAGTGTTGACAAATAGTGCTACATTTTGGTAAATTTACATTTAAAACATTTCTAAATCCAGGAGGACTGTACTGAGTAACTGAAGTTATAATGCAGATATTGAAAGAGCACTCGTCTCAAGAACATTTAGTCTCGCTCTTGACTTGGACTTAACCCCCAGTCTGGACTCAGTCTGACTTCATCTAGAGACAGCTCTATTTGATTTGTGTCTAAGTAGACTCAAGTGGTCTTGACTAAAACCCAGGCTGTAGGTCTGGGTCAAATACAAAGTTATTATTTAGTATTTGGCAAGTGGAGGAAAGATATCACAGCTATTCATACCAGCAGCAATGAAAATGTGCGACAGTTGCAACAGGTTCGCCACTGTCGTGATGTTGTGACATCATGTCTGTCCTGCACAACGTGATCAGTCGATGCCTTAATTTTGTGGTGCAAACACTCAAGAAATCAAGCATGTTCAAAAAAGATTAGGCATTTTTTTTGTTGTGTAATATTTGTGTTTTTGAATAAATGGATACACAAATCTGTGTATTTGTGTGTGAAATTACTCATCACAAAAACAACAATACAGAGAAGTATATATTAATATATAGACATGCCAATCAATCGCACAAAAAAGGCCCTAGTATGTAAAGGCCTTAACATACACTTAGTAAATCAAAGGACTCCATTTTTTATACTGACTGCAGACACGGAAAACGCAAGGTCGGGCGATGGGTGCTACTTTTGTGCCTTTTTTGAGCCAGTTTTCAAGAATGCAGTGGCTGGTTGCATCTGAGGTTGCCAAGCAACCAAGCAACCTTAACAGGCACTGTATCATCGCCTATTTACCTGAAATCCAGAGTGCAGAGCTGATCTTCTTCAAGCCGATGTTTATAAGTGTGTGAGCATACTGACCGTGGGACAGATGTAAAGCTCTGGCAGTCCTGCACCAAAATGATCAGACTGATATTTACTGAAGAAGGGAAAGATATCTGCCAGCTGTGATTGGTTTGTCTGTGTCACATGACATGCAGTGCGCGCTGCTGCGTTCCAAAAGTTGTACTCTGTTTATCTCAGTGTGCAGGTTTCGTGCCCTAACAATAGGCACTCAGGAACATATGCATGCCACGACTGCGACGCTCTGGCGTTTGAGCATGCCTGCCACGCATCTACATTGAAAACAATGAATTTAGGGGTGCAAAAGACGAGGCATCTGTACAGGCCGTTTGACAAAAAACCTTTATTTAAACAGCCACAATCTCCAGCGTGGCAGGCTTGTAATAAAGGTCCTACTTTTTTAACTCGTGGAAAAGTAAGGATAAATGCGAATAAATACACTATGTACATTGTTGAGGAATTTAATTAAATTTGTTGCTGATTTATACATTTAGATAGGCGCTCTGTGAGATTAAAAAGATAAAAAAAGAAACACTATGCTGGCATCAAGCCTGCAGTAACTGCATTGCTTAAGTATATCTACTGGGCCTCAAAGAAACCAGTGTTAAAACTAGAGTGGACACAAATATGTAGCTCTCCATCTTAGAAATCCAATGACCAACACTCTGTTTTCACTGAGACTGTGATTGTGCCTTGAGGGGTAGGAAGTGAAATCTGTGGGATCCTTCTATCGCAGATGTCCCGCCTGCTCAGCTCATTCCTCATGCAAGTTCCATAAGGGCATTTGTCAGTTGGTCAGCCATCAATGAATAGACTCTACAGGGGGTTTACAAGGATAGTGACACACAGACAGGCACAAATGGTGTGTGTGTGTGTGTGTGTGTGTGTGTGTGTGTGTGTGTGCAGGTGAGTATACATGGTCATGCCAGGAAAATTATTACTGAGACATGTAGCTCTAACAGTCTCAAGACGTCCTGATCTTGGCAGTCTTTGCTTTTAAGATATTTACGCCAAATGCTTTACTATGGAAATAATGTTTCTGATCTGTGGCCTGAGGGAATATTAACGCAAACAGGCTTCAGATACTGTGATTAAAACATGACAGTCTGAGCGTGTGTGAGTCTGTGCGTCTATATATTTATATATCTATCTATGTATGTGTTTCTTATTGCATACAGGTCTAATTGGCTTAGAGAAGATCTCTCCTCACTGCATTCACTGTAAACAAGAGACGATCTCCAGCACTTAGACAGATTGGATTCAATTACAGTCTGCTATGCTCTGAATATCAGATAAGACAAAATTACACAACCATTCTCAAGGTGACAAGTTGAGTGAATGCCTGATGAATCTAAAGCAGTAGCCAAGGACACAGACTGCCTGCTTCGCCAAGAAGAAAGCACTGTAGAACCGTCTCACTGTTTCAGGGACGCTGTCATCATATGGTTTCACTGCTCACACAGAGGGAGCTGAAATCTATGCAGCTAACTCAACATCTTTAAGTCTTAACTAAACAGGCTTTTGAATGATATAATTTAAACATTTTAATAAGACTTCATAAATAGTACCAGATATGATATAAAGTGTAAAAATGGAACGAGTATTTATTTAAAATTGTGTCGACATTCATGCTCAAGGTCTCTTTGGTAACTTCTACAATGGCTACCATTAGAGGCTAGAATTAGAGGTAGCTTACCAGTATCTTGGTGGTGTAGGCGCTGTTGATGGAAATGGCATTGACCAATAACTCCAGTGATTTGGGTGGCAGAGCTCCAGGGTCTGGGATTTCTTTGTAGTGCATATCTCCAACGTAACACTGCACAGCTGTCATGCGGTTGGTGGTTAGCGTGCCTGTCTTGTCAGAGCAGATGGCTGTAGCATTGCCCATCGTTTCACATGCATCCAGGTGACGCACCAGGTTGTTGTCTTTCATCATTTTCTGTTGGTAGGAAACAACACAAAATATCATGACATGTTGCAATGTATATCTGCTGCTTAAACCTCGCGCTAAAATGATAATTTATTTCACAGCAGCAGTCAAAGAGACAAACGTGTTATTCGGCCTTCATCAGAATTTCTTTCTCACAAAATTGCACAAAAAAATTAATCCATTTGGGAAAAATGGGGCGCAAAAGTGGCTCTGCTTTGCATATAAAGGTTAGAATATTGACTTACAACATGTAGATGAACACACAGTGTTTAATGTGCAAATGTGCAGCCCTTACAGCAGACACACAGCTGTGCTTTAATATATGCACTGTATGTCTTTCAGTGTTCTTCCTTACCTTGACAGAGTAGGCCAGGGAGATGGTGACAGCCAGCGGCAGCCCCTCCGGCACGGCCACCACCAACACAGTCACACCGATGATGAAGAACTTGACAAAGTACTGGACGTAGATGGGAGTGCACTCTGGCATCCAAGGACGCTTCTGCATCACAAAGTTGTCAATGGCAAAGTACAGGACCAGGATGATGACTGTGACGGCTGACATGAGCAGACCTGGAGAAAAAAAAGATACAAAAGGTCAGTGGCAAAACAAGAGACTGTCAAAAGAGTCTGAGTGAACATATTATGTGATTCATGCATGGACATTCGTCAGAAAGAAGATTCCCGAGGGCCTGATCAGACAGAGCATGTTTTACAGGTTGAAAAACGTGAGGCGCACCACACAGCCTTTTTGTTAGAGCCAGCCCTGATCAGACAGAGCACTTTTTGCAGCTCTTTTTATTATTGTTGCAAGGCAACCATCGAATCACCTTTCCTTAGCTTAAAAATGATTCTGCTACAACATAAACGCACAGGACTGCACCTTACATTCTGCATTAAAATGAACAGACGGGGGCACTTGCTTTGCTGTTATTGAGAGTGAGAGGCTGTTCCCAAATAGTGTGTTGGGTACAGGGAAATTGAGATCTGTGTGAATACATGACACCCTCAGACAGAGAAGAAATCACAGGGAGTACAACCAGCTGATCCAGGAGTTTCACCTCGATGATGGTCAGCGCAAGGCTTTTTTTAGGATAAGTCACGGACAATTTGACAATCTGCTGTCAATCGTCGGGCCTAATTACAGTTGGAAAACATTAGAAAATAGTTGAGGCTATAGTTTGTTCAGACATGTTTTGCAGCTTGCTTTGAGCGATATTAAAAGTGACCTATCATTAGCTTAACATAAACCATGAACTGTATGCTAACACTTGTTGTCATTGCCACCATAGAAGGCTCGCTCTCAATTGATCTGATTGACAAATGGGAAAACATGCCAATGCGTTGAAAATGTTTTTCTGCTCTGAGTTGATATTTTTTCAACTCAAGGCGAGGTGCTCAGCAATGCAAAGGCAGCGAGAAAAATGCTTCACTCTTACTGAAAAAAGTGACTTAAAGTCTCCCCAGGCTGCTTATGTGTTCTCTGTCTGCTCGGGGCCTAATTCCTCCTGTAACATACATATGTTATGGTATGGGCGGAAAAACAGAGAGAATAAATAAATAAATCATCACTGCAAAACATGGGGAGGACCTTTAAAAGGTCCCAGATGGTCCGAAAGGGATTAAAAATAAGAGCTTTGCTCCTGTGAGGCAACAGTGCTAACCACTGAGACACCATGCTGCCTTAATTGATCATCACATGTTGACTCTTCTAGCATGATTGTAAATAACGAGTGTTATGGTTGCATATATCATGTTGTACATGTATGTGTGCCAGAGTCGGGGTTTTGTGCATGATGGCTCACTTGGATAGCATGCCTACACTGAATAAAGACAATATTTAATACATTATTAGTTACACTTTGGTGCAATAAAATGTCAATGTAAAGAAGTTTGTCAAGTCAAAATGTATTGCAGGATAGAGCTTTGATTCTCTTCCTGAGCCCGATTAGGCCTGACCTGACCTGCCGAGTTCAGGCTGGGCTAGAAGTTGGCAAATTCCCCCGGGTTTAAATCAGGCTGGTTTCGCTCCCTGTGTGCGTTTGTGTGTTATCTTTAATGCATGTCTTATAGTGTGATATCATGAATATTATATAGACTGCGTTGCCAACTCCCCCCTCTCATTAATGAGCAGTGATGTTAAACACCCCCGATATAATAAATATGGCATATAAAGTTTTTTTGGCCGTGCTAAACATTTGGTAGGAGAAGGTGCATGCTGGGGATTGTGTCACCAACGTTCGCTGCCGCACTGGAAAGACCTGAGTTGACTTTAGCTTGTAATAAATGTTTTTAATTTTCTATATTTTTCTACACCTTCAGCCCACAACTGCTACCATGGTTCAGGCTTGGCTGGGCTTCGACAGACACTATGCAGATTCATGTAGGGCCAGACTCGACAGTCATGTCTTTGGGCCTGACCACAGCTCTGTTGCAGGATTGCTGTATTAACCTGGATTAGTTTTAGCTTGGTGGACCTAATAAGCTTGCACATTGGTGTGTACTCCCTCCCCGAGGGGACAAGATCGGATAGACCCTAACCAAAACGCCACTTATCACTCTTTCTTCATTCCTCCATCTTTCCTGGTGACAATATGCCAGCTTGGGTTGGAAAAAAGTCACATGCTGAGGACTGGTTTTAATTTGTCACAGATAAAAATAAGTGAATACCAACAGATGCTAGGCAGTCAGTTGCTATCATCAAAGTTGGCAGGTAGATGTGTGTCGCACCTTTCCTGACTCTGTTTGTGCATCCATACACAGCAGACCATATGGCACTTTCTACTTTAATAGAGGCTGATGCAGTAAGATGCACAGTGTAAACATGAAGTAAAGCCAAGGAACTATACAAGTGTCACGTTTCAAGTATGTCTGGGGTTTTTATTCCTTATCTGAAAGCTAATGAGACACATCTGGTGTCAGGTATATATAGACCAGGTGTGGATTATTATTGAGTGTATAGAGAGCAGAGAAGCTAAAAACAGCATGCTAGAGGGTCACAGGCCCTGAAGTGTATTAAGTCCAAACTTTTCTGCCAGACCCACAGGAAGGGCATATGATCTTAAAGTGCTGCCTGTATGCTAATCCATCCACAGTGTTTCATTGTTTTGACACCACGTCCTCATTCAATCACTCACAGCAACAGTCTGATGTAACAGCACACTGTAAAAACGATGACTTCTCTAAGGGATTCTCTAAAAATTAATAACTTTTTACAGAGGGAAAAAACAGCCCCTCAAAGAAAGCCCTGGCAGTCAGGTTTTTAATTTCTTAAACATCTATTCAGGGATATTTTGAGGAATCCCAATCCCAGACTGGTCCAGAAACCCCTGCGTTCTTGCAGTATTTTAGGTATGTAATATTCAAGGCTATCAGTTGTTCAGCAGTAATCCTACTACGTTGCTGCTGCGAGGACACCCACAGTGTGGGCATAAATGGCATGTGGGCATCTGTTACTAAAAATGCTTGCTGCTACAGACCCACTGCAAGTCTTTTAGACATAAAATCCTTGGTGCCATAAATTGCTGTAAATGGTATTACAAGCATTTCATTATGGTATGGATTGTAAAATTGCAAAAGTGAGCAAGCACAATAACGAACATAATGCAGTCTCAGCTGTTCCCAATATAATGATTCAGCAAGTCCCCAGAGGGAAAGGTCATTTAGAAAAATAAAGTGAACAGGCTCCTCTTCAGTTCTATAATTCAGACACTGTGGCATTCTCCTCAACAGCTTTGATTGCTTTAAGCCACGAAGAAGAATCTTATCAGTGCAACATCTTGCTGTGACGGACAGGATGATGGTTGAGTGCCTTGTTGTCGCTGATTTTAACTGCCTGACTGAGTGATGGACTTGCCCGTGTGCAGTTTGCTGTACCTGCTTTGCCAATCTGCACAGCCAGTTTGGTCAGCTTCCCTTGGAGCACAGACTTCTCTTTCTTGGAAACGGACACCTTCTTCTTCTCTTTCTCATCGGACTCTCCACCTTCAGCACTCTTTAGAGGCTGCATCTCCATGGCAGCTGCTCCATCCTGCTTCTTCACTGTAAACACCACAAAAAACACAGACAGCAGCAGCAGCGTTAGAAATGTAGATTAGACCGCAGGAGCAAAGAGGAACAGGGAGCCAGGCTTCAACAGCCAGGTGTCACACTAGCTCCAAGACAAACAATATAAATTTAAAACCAAGACGAGATCATATGACGTCCCATGACAGGATGGGAACTAATTGGAATGTATAAAGCTTTCACATACCATAATAAGGATTGTTTATGTTTGTCCCTGCATTGTCTTCAAAGTTAAATCAAAGATACTGTGAACTTTGTTTCTGTGTGGAATATGACAACTAAAAAATTCATGATACCTTCTGTGCTTCATTTGCTGTCATAGGGGAAATATATGTTGTCATCATTCATCCTATTTTTTATCATCACAAACACATATTTACACATGAGTCATGAATAATTCAGTGGTCCTACATCCAAGGTCCAAATCATGTTACAGATTATTTAAAGGCTGGCTGAGCATTTGCAGACAGTGAGGAAAATGAAACCTTATGTGAAGCATAGCACGTTTCATACAAAGGAGAACTCACTGTGCTTCAACATTAGAAAACAAAACACAAAGAACCAGAAAAGAAACAAAAAAAGTCATAAAGAGATAAAGTGAAAAAGCATATTCCAAAACAATAAAGATCCAAATTTTAATATTCAAAACAAAAATATCAAAATTTAATTCAATTAAAGTACATTACATATCGGTTTTCAGTCCAAATTAGAGTCTCAAGCCATCAGTTTTTTAAGCTGTGTTGTTTTTACTCTGGAAACACTTTGCAGACAGGTTTCAAATGATTTTTGAGGATTAGAGACTTAAAATTCTAAAAGCAAGACAAAAATATATTTTAGCCTTAATCCACTGACTGTTGTACAGTGTAGACCATGATGTATAGCAGTATAAATAGCAGCCATGATTTAAAATCAATTTAAATCATACTGGAAGACAGTTCAGAGATCTAAGGTGAATAAAGCTTCCTTGGTGGCAACATGATCATGTTACCTGAAAGCAAATTAATAAAGCCCACACTGTTCAATTATTGCAAGAAACTACAAATCCCCAACTAGTAGAAGCTTGTATATGAGTGTGATCATACATTTCACTGACGCAAATCATCTCAGAAAGAAGGCTGACACACGCAAAACAAGATCGTTGTATGTTGCAGACTGTAACTGTACATGCTTTTGAAATTACTGCCCTTTTCTTTCACAAAACTCAAACAGTTGTTAAATATCATATGCTAAAATACACAGTGATCAATGTATGTTCCATAAACAAAATTTATTTTCACACTTTGAAATAAATCAATATTCTATCTACTTTTTACTGTATGATCTATTTTACAGTGCGGAAAAAACAAGATTCCCTATTTTCAGTAAAGAAAACAATGTCCAGGCTGTACAACCAATCCTCATTTACCTCACTCTGTCTCCATCTCTCTTCCCCTCACACACACATACAGTACAGTGCTTCTCCGTTAATGTAGCCCATTACAAGACTCATTTCAGTCCAGTTTTCCAATCACAATGAAGCATGTGTTTGATGCTCATGAAAAACCTTTTAATGTTGAACATTTGTCCTATGTCTCTCTGGTTGTGCATTTTGTTTTCCACCCACATGACACAAGACAGACAGTGTCTGTATCTAACTGTACGCCACAGAAAACAAGATTAAAGACTTGATGTTAAAACAAGCCCAGGACAAAGGTTCATCTTCTGAAAGCTGCACATTCTTCTGTATTATAGCAACACTGATATAGACTATAATCATCTTACCAAGGTGTAATTAAGAGTCTTCATTGACCCTTTCACACTGTTGCTTTGGGGACACTTGCTCAGCCTGTGTCTGTTATTCTCACGATGCTTTTGTTTTAAGAGATGAAACATATTTTGACAAGACAAGAATGCTCAGACTTGGTAGAAAGACTTGTTGGTTAAATAAACCAAATAAGGAGTGGTGAGGAGTTTGAGATGACAAGTGACAAGAGCCTGGGAATAAAGCACTAGGCAATTAATTAATTAGTTGATTTAAAGAAAATGTGTCTTTAATTAAAGACATATGTATAAAAAAAAAATAGTCGTTGATAACAGCTTCCGAAATGTAAATGTGCTTCGTCTGTATTATAGAGAAATTAGTCATTTCCAGGTTTGTCAAACACAATGACAGATTCGTAGGCACCTTTTTGGGTACCTGGGATGAGCATTTTTGTTAATTTTTTTCACAGATTAAATTGACAGATTAACAATCATAAAGATAAGTATTACTACAGCCACACCCCTGAAGGTAACCATCCATCCCTTTTAATCACAGATAACTTCTGTCATATTGTGTGGGGCAAATCTCACGCAACAGTGGTAAGGGGAATCCAGGGTATGGTATGCAACTTGAGGAGAGTACTAAGAGGACAGTTCGGGGTGTTTTTGGTGGAAAGGGGCAGCCTGAGTGAGGCAAACACAGTAGCTGAGGGACAAGTTTCTGTTCTCTTGTAGAGAACAAGACAAGTCAACAACACAACAAGAACAACAACAGAACAACAGACCAGGGACAACACATCAGTGACAGACAGAGTGAAGAGAAGAGATTTTCTACCCTAATATGACTGCAGGTAAAACCTGGGTCAAACACTGGCATCCTCTGGGATTTCCTGAGTCAGCGGTGGACTTTGTCAAAGTCCCTTTGAATCTAACTTGAGACAGTGAGGTTTCAAATGTGCAGAATATAATGAAGCCTGAAATAAACAAAGCATTGCAGGATTTTCCATCTGTGTTTCACCCAGAGCTTACGCAACACACCATGGAAGGAAACGATGAGAAGAGGAAGAGAGGGAAGAAAGAGGAGGAGGAGGAAGAGAGAAGGCAGGGGAGGAGAAAGAGTGAAAGATATGGTTTGGTTACCTTTAATCTGGTTGCTCTCCATATTGCCATCTTGCATTTTACCTATGATGGAGACATACAAGACAATAACAACAAAAATAACCAAGGCAGACAAGTCAACAAATTATCACCACAGAGACAGCACACACAGTGAGAACCAAAAACCACAAACAGGGAGACAGGAAAATGACTTTTAATACAACGTCTCTGTGACAGTCACATAGAAAGTGATGTAATGTAAGCAGAAGCTACAGCCACTGGCAAGAGGCAACACACAAATATTGCAGTGTGCAGATTTTCTGGAATTAAGTGGAGGGAAATTAGGTTTTAATAGACGTTATTCTATTGCATTAGGAAATAATCAGGTTATTAAAAATGCTTAACGGGCCTCTCTGAAACTTATGTATTTTCACATCATTGTAATTATGCTGAACATTTAAAAACTGCACACTTTCTGCTGTTTTTTAAATATTATTCTGAATGACATACTCACACTATGAGCACAGGTAATTGCACACACATTATCAAAAATACGAGTCACATTGTTGGGGTATAAAATGAGATATCAAGACATACAGTAGATACAGCATCACACTGAACACTGACAGTGGGGGGGGGTACACAGCAAACACACACACACACACACACACACACAAACCACATACACGTAGAGTACACGCAAACGAGAGACAACATGCATAGGAGAAAAATTCGGAAAGCACATGCAAGATCACACACTAAGAGGGAAGCAGACTGGAGATGTGAACAATACACACACACACACACACACACACACACACAGAAAGAGTGAGAGAGAGAGCCAGAAGGAAAAGCCTCCCACATGGGAAAGTTACATAAGAACAACTGGAGGAAAATCGAAATCTAAGCTCAGGGACTGTGAATTTATTATGCTGTTGGATTCTGCTTACGCAAGGAGCAAACTTAGAGTGAACTTAATTTAAATGTGCGTTTCAATCACACAACATTGTTTTAAACTGCTGGTAGTCAAACAGAGCTGCTCAGAGTACACACAGTAGATTTCATCTTGAAAGCTGATAAAACATAAAACTTAAAGAACAGTATAATTTCAAACCAAATGTACACACGATGTTTACAAAATAAGACATAATAATTAAGGGCGCATATATTATATGCTGCAGCGTTGATCCCATTATCTACCCAGGCTATAATTATAGAGATATGCACTGTTTGTCTCAGTGGTAGGCAGGCTGGAAATTGCACAAAATCTGCCTCTCAGTGCTTTTGTACTCAAATGTCATAGAGAAAATTACTCAGGTAGAGCTGGAAGACCAGATTTCTCTCAGACTCCTCGGCATGTATGTGGAGAATAAATGGCTCGTTTCACCTCCACCTCCACATTAGCCAGTTCCCTGGAGTCACAATAAAGCTGAAGATGACAAATCGCTCTGTTCCTGCCCAGGACAGCACAAGGTCATCACTGCAGTGCAAATCATGCCCCTCTTGCTTTGAGTACAAACATTTTGTGGCTGCTCTCCAAGGAGACAAAGATAAGAGAGAACCCAGTGCAGTGCTGAATGAAGTTAATCTTTTGCATCTTGTCCAGCTAACACAGAAACGGAGGATTTGCACTAAGTGATCTCAGAGGACACCCAACTACAGGAGATGGCCCTACAGTAGGACTGTGCCACCATCCTTCAGCTAGTGTCTTGTCTGCTCAGAAATGTATGAATACAGTATATACAACAATTTATTTACTAACTCACCAAGAAACACAATAGCCTGTCAGCACCATTCAAAAACATATTTTACATTTTGCACAGACTTAGAAGAGAAAATGAGAATGACTACACAGTAAATATGAAACTACCACCTGCAGCTGGTTAGCTTAGCATAAATACTGAAAACAGGGGAAACAGCTAGCCTGGCTCCGTCCAACCCGAACAAAATTAGCCTACCAGCACCTCTGAAGCTCACAAATTAACACATTATAAAGTGTAAAATTGACTCTTTTGTGAGGTTATGTGTCAGGCTATTTCACAGCTGGGAGCAGTGGAGTGGTATCAATTGTCTCATCTAACTATTAGCCAAAAAAAAAAAGGGTATTTCCCCAAATGTCAAACTATTACTTTAAAGACACTCATCTTCGAATGTTGCTGTCCTTCCTATCCTTCCCAAAATCTTTATTATGAATGATGAAAAGGCTTAAAAAGATTTTCACTACATCTTAGCATCACAAAGACCTACTGTGTTTAAATTTTCAGATGGATCACACAAAAAATCCTAAGTCATTTACACATTTTTCCAAGACAGCTATTTAGTACACTGTACGTTCAAGCTGTAGTTGGTAACTTCTACAGTATATAACAAATAATTCACTGACATACAGTACATGCCAAAAGTTTGGACACACCTTCTCATTCAATGCATTTTCTTTATTTTCATGACTATTTACATTGTAGATTCTCACTGAAGGCATCAAAACTACGAATGAACACATGTGGAGTTGGGACACATTTAAAGTTTTTGCAATTTCCCGGACTGACTGACCTTCATTTCTTAAAGTAATGATGGCCACTCGTTTTTCTTTAGTTAGCTGATTGGTTCTTGCCATAATATGAATTTTAACAGTTGTCCAGTAGGGCTGTCGGCTGTGTATTAACCTGACTTCTGCACAACACAACTGATGGTCCCAACCCCATTGATAAAGCAAGAAATTCCACTAATTAACCCTGATAAGGCACACCTGTGAAGTGGAAACCATTTCAGGTGACTACCTCTTGAAGCTCATGGAGAGAATGCCAAGAGTGTGCAAAGCAGTAATCAGAGCAAAGGGTGGCTATTTTGAAGAAACTAGAATATAAAACATGTTTTCAGTTATTTCACCTTTTTTTGTTAAGTACATAACTCCACATGTGTTCATTCATAGTTTTGATGCCTTCAGTGAGAATCTACAATGTAAATAGTCATGAAAATAAAGAAAACGCATTGAATGAGAAGGTGTGTCCAAACTTTTGGCCTGTACTGTATTTGCTGAAACTAACACTTCATCCAAAAAGAAGTATACGTGACATACTATTTGTGAAAATACACCATGTTTCTCTGCACTCTCTAACTGCCTCTAATGGCCTTACTGCTCGTGAACAAAAACAACCAATCAGAGCCAAGGAGTTTCTAATGTAGCTTTTAATCATGTCAAATACTGTGAACTGCGGTCAAATTGTTAAACTAAGCAGCACTGATCAAACGTGAATTACGATTCTGTTACTGCATTGCCTATTTCTTGTCTCAAATGTTTGAAGGGACATATTTCAGTGTACTGTTTAGCTGTAATATGAGACAGTTGGTCCAGCAGGTGGGCAGTGCTTTGCTTGACTGTTTTCAACATGGCAGGTGGCTCAAAACGTTCTCATTTTACAGCTAAACAGTGCACTAAAATATGGTTCTGAAAACATCTGAGGCAAGACAGGTAACACAGTAACAGAATCTTGATTCATATTTGATCAGTGCTATTTAGTTTGACAGTTTGACAGCAGTTCACAAGCAGTGGATGGACTCCTCAGCTTTATTTTGTTGTTTTCGGTCCGCCATGTTAGATTCTAGCAAATGCCTATAGAGGCAATAGGACGACGACTTTCTGTCTCATGTAATACTTTGAGGACGTAGTGACAGTTTTAGCAAATATGACAAAAAGTTACTTTAACAAAAGTTACCAACTGTAGCTTTAAAGCATTATGAGACAAAAGATAGCATAAAGAGAAGAAAAAGAAACACAAGACTAATTTCTACAACTACGAGAGGACGTGCATTGACAGCATGGATACAAAAGGGTCCAACACAACTGAAAGGAAAGGTAGAGCAGAGGAAAATGGAGAAGGTAGGAGGAGTCAGAAGTCACGACAGAAGGAGGTCAGAAATCAGAGGTTTTGTCAACCTACCATTAATAAGGCTGGCACTGCCAGGGGCATTAATGCCTGCAGCCCCATCCGTGGCTATAGTTGCGATGGGGTGGATAGGGGGATGGGAGCAATCTAGCCAGTAACAATGAAGGCCAAACACGAATGAACAAAAACACACACACACACACACGTGCGCGCCCACACACAAACACACGCATGTGCACACACAAGACAATGAACAGAAATAACATGGTTATAGCACATTTAAGAGTTTCAGCATATGTAGACTTAATGTGAATACTAAAGTCTAGTGATCAGTGTGGCTTAAAAATTGTATGTTTTTGTTCTTAATGTAATCATGTGTATACTATTGAAATTAATAAATGTTATGTCAATAAAACAAAGTGTAACATTAGACAGACGTGAAACATGAAATCTGAACAGAAGTGGAAAAACAATATCACAAAATGTGAAACCAGAGCTACAGAAAAGACAACCCTACTGTATTTGTTTTTATATACTAAATCTATAGTATATAATTTTGCATGTATAATAGAAATAGTGATATAATAGCATAGCATTTAATGCCATTTTTGATTTTGTTAATTTGTTGCAATGTGAAGTTCATTTAAACCATGTTATTCATGTAATACCTGTTAGCATCACAAAATCAAAATTTGGGCAGAAAATCTGAAACAAATAGCTAAAAGGTGTTGCATAGCCAATCTAAAATTAAACTCTCCTGCAAAGTAAACAAAACATAAAAGGGGCAACATATTAGCCAGGGAAATACACATGTGCCAACCAGTTTAGAGATGGGGCTAATAAATTATACAAGTGTAAATAAGAAGGTGTCCAAATTTTTGCGTTAAACCCCGCCCCAATAGTGATAGTTCTTCAAAAGGTAATTATAACTTGTAAGGATTTGTTCATGTCTTTTGAAAGCAGTCACATAAACTATGATTACTGGAAAAAAGAAATTCAGCTGAAGGTTGATAATTGCTTCCTTGTGTCCTTTTTGATTCGAGTTCATTGTTAGCAAAAACACAATGACTTATAGCAGCTACTTCTTCTACAGTTAATTTATTATCTCATTGAAAAGCAATTGCTTTCTTTATTTGACACAGCACCGTACTGATTTTAGTGCAAATCACTGATGCAATCAGTACAATCAGTTTAGCAGTGTTTTGTCAGCAAATCTATCTGAATCCGAAACAGTCAGCTGATGCAATCCTTTAAAAAAGTCTCTGCTGCCAAAGCTTATCCTAACTTTAAGAAGTTATATTTACGTAGTCTATAACTTTAAATGAAGTTGTTTTAATTATATTAATTACGTCAGCCAGACATGATGTATTACGAAGGGACAGTTTTAGCAGAAAAACGTTGAAAATACCAATTTGATAAAATCTGCAACTTACAATCAAGGATCAAATATATATTAACATAAAGGGCTTTTTAGTGAATGGCATTTTAAAGTGAATTTGGGTAGTTTAATGACTGCTTCCCTGAGCCCAGGTAATGTGTTACATTGTACAGTTTGTTGTTGGTTGATCAGACACCTGGGATAGTTTTTCCTGGTTTGATCTGATCATTAAATCCAGGAAAAGAATGTACACACTGCTGAAGGACTACAATTACAAGTCAAGAGAAGAACACGTATAGTATTTGTTAGTGTTCAGATCAGAAGAAGAAAGCATTATCCACAGGGGAAGATATGTTTTACTATTACCTTGTACAGCAGAAACCTCCTATAGTGATCACGCCTGTGTGGGTCAAATTGAGCACTCTAAACGGATGACTGATATAACCATTTTATTTTTTATTATTTTAATTTCTCATGCAGATTGCCATCTCACTGACTAATCGGTATATCTAATACATGAATATAAAGTAATGAAATGGACTGTATTGCTATCAAGGGCCCACTCAAGAAGGCAATATGTGATTGGGCATCATCAATCCATTTGACGAGGGGGGCTTTAACGATGGGCTTTCCCTGTACACATTCGTTTTCTGTTTCCATCACTAGCAGCCGTGACAGTATCTTGTTTGAGCATAGCATGTAGTGTGTTTAGCAGTTTGTCATAAGCTTTGAGGAGACTATGTTTTTCATTGCGAGAAAATTCTTTTGCCTGTCATGATTTCGATGTGCACGCGGCACCAGCCAGCTGTAAGCAGACGGGTTACCATGAGGCAAAGTATCATGAAAGTAAAGTTAAAAAAAATTAACTTTCATAGTCTCAAATTGTTTTTCTGTTTGTTGTCATGTATGAAAAGACCCAAAATGAACACTGAGCAGAATACTTTATTACTTTAAGCGAATAATTTAAACAGCATGTGTAAAGAAATAATTCTGTCCCAAGCTTTTTGATCCACATAAGCCGGTGATCACTGTAACTGTGATCACTATATGGGGTTTCCAATGTTTAATGTGTCGAATCTGAGAGAGCACCGAAGCAAAAATACTTAAAAACATATAGTGTGCTATCCATGCATGCTACTGGGCTACCTGCTCATTGAAACTACAGAGCTGTCTGAAGAGGCTCAAGCAATGTTGGCAAAAAAATCCCTACTGATGTTAAAATATGTACATGTACATAGGCAAGACGCAAAGATAACATCTTACTAAAGCTCATACTATGTACTTCACTCTCTGCTGCTGGTACATGTGCTGAACACCTGCAAGGCTGTCGCTCTCATGTCATTGTTCTGCAACCAGAAATGAGATGAGTCTGACAGCCTTTGTTTACTTGTGGCATTCAATACGTCTTTGGAACAGGACTGATGTTGAATGCTAGCTAGTTAGTTTGATGAGTGCAGTGCCTGTTATATGGGGAGAGGATTATGCATTGTGAAATGTGTCATCTGTCAACACTTAAAAAGATGCAGTGCTGTGAGGATGAGGCTTCTCTTTTTAAGTGAGGAATTAATCTGGGGCAAAGGTGCTCGGCTACAGAGGAGGGGTGTAGAGTAACGGTGGTTTATTGGGGATCATTAGGGGTTAAAGGTCAAAAGGATCAAGTACCACTCCCAGGGGTCAGAAAAGGTGATACTCTACCTGTATTCTGGTGTCCGTCTTCCACAGCCCCTCCTTCGAGGCGAATTTGGAAGGATAAGAGAGTAAGGACAATAATGCACCTGAACCCACAGAACCTGGATACTGCAGCTCATAAGTGTACCACCAATACTCATTTCATACAGTATTCATACACATTCAGTAAAGAGGCTGTCAGGTACAGCACTATGAATACCTACATACACTTCATATGATTTTGTTCATTTGTGAGTTTATTGTTTATAACCCTTCTGATAACAAAGACAGTTAATAACACTGATATTATGCAATGAGCGTACACACTCAGACTTTCAGGACATAAGGTAATGAAATGGCAAAAGCTTTTTCAAGGGTACGTTGCTGAGCAACTCTGACAAAAGAACAAATTACCTCACTGCTCCTGAAGCAACTGCAGAGAAATCTTGCATGTTTATAAGAAAAAGGATTATTAATGATATAATGAACTTACCTTTCTTTTCTTTCTTCTCTTCTTCCTCTGTACCGGCCCCCAGCAGGGTGAAAATGATTCCAGTCTGAGAGTTGACACCGACAGCAGTCACCACCATGCGCCCTGACCCCTCCATCACATGGGTGCCTGGAAAATGAAGTGTTATAAGATATGACAGCTAGATGAGATATATTTTCAGTGCTTGCTAGGAAAAAAAGTGACACTAGTGTGATTGTGTGCATTTGTCCAAACCACTATTAAAATATTACTGGTTTAAAATTGAAATTAAAGCCAGGATAGGCAGTAAGATTTTAGCATCACTGGTCAAAAGTCCCATAATAAATTTTGAGCATATAATTCAAGTTGTCTGAAAGAACAGGATCGACAGGAAGGCAATCCAGGCACTCCAAAAAAATCATATTTCAAAACATTTTTCAAAGCCAATGATTTAGTTTAATGATTTAGCCACTAAAATAAAGGCTTTTTAATATTTCCTTCATTGTTTTCTATATTTTTTTGGAGTGCCTGGATTGCATTCCTGTCGATCCTGTTGTTTCCTGTTCTCCAGGAGCACCAGACAGAGGGCTTTGATCTACATTTCTATATACAGAGCAACCAGTCGTCTCTTTCTTGGTCTAAAAGAACACTGGAGGTCTGTACTTCCCCTTGCTTCTGTTTTCAGGCTTTAAAAAAAGTCTAGCCTGTGACGGAAGATGTTGGCTCATCACAGCTCATTCCAGTAAGAGGGCAATCTAACTGGCTGTTCTGCAAATGCAGGTGCACGCGCACGTCCCTTCAGATGCTGAAAGCCTTACTCAATGGTGGAGAATCTTGCAGAAAAGTTGCTATTACAGCATTGGTAACGACTGCCAACACTGCCAAACAACCCCAAAAAATGAAGATGGACTTAGTCTGAAGATAGTCTGACAATTAATGATACAAAACGTGTCAGTATTGGCAAAGAATTCCAGAGATGGGAAGAAAACAGCTAACAGTTTAGCCTTGTGCTAACAGGAGCTAAAGGCTCATGACTGTGGCTTCAAGTTCCTGTTATGTAGCTAAGGTTAGCTAACATTGGGACCTTAAATCACTATGTGTCCTCTGTCTCACACTCCGCTGCTACAGAACACCTCGCCAGGAGGAAAGCAGGCAGGAGTTCTGGTGACGGACCCCCGGGAACAGGCATCCAGCCAGTGCAAACCCCCACTTCGGGGGACAGGACAACTCTGACTCCCCACAGGATAAACAAACTTTCTGTTGTGAAGGTCTGTCTCAAGAGCTGCTGCCAGCTCTCCTCATGAGGAAGCAGTCCACAGCAGCAGCAGGGAGCAAGGCAAAGGGACCATGGGTTGGCTAGCTAGGTAATTCTTGTCTCATTTGTTGTCTGATAAACAGAGAGAGAGATAGCGGGGCATGTGGGAGCTGAGTGAATGCCTTGCGGGCAACTGTACACTGACACAAGATTCAATAAATCAATGTATGGGAAACAGTGTGTTACTGTATGAAGCATGTGCATATACCCATGGTCATCCGGTGGTAGGAGTTCAGGACAGAGGGGAGAGCTGCAGGAGGAGGGTGTATTTTTATTTCTGCCTACCACAGCTTTAATGAATTGACTTGTTTGGTTGCCCATTCCTAAAAATAAAAACCTAAATTCGTCATGCCTTCTTATAATGATGAAATTACATCAGATGGTGATTGTTAATTTTCCAATTTGGGCATACTTGTACCATATAAACGTTTGAAAGTATTTGTGGGCTTGTGTGTTCCAATTTCATAGTACAGTGTATAATAAAATAGCTCGCTCCTATTGCAACAGAGCTATGACACCGATGAAAGACTCGTGGTCAATTGAGAACATCTGATTATTTGCTCTAGAAACTTACTGGCTGCATTGGTTCTATATTAAACATCATTAAAGCTGAAAGTCAGAGATTCATTCTTACTCATTGTTGTATTTAAATCCAATGTGCTGGAGAAGAAGGCCAAAGTAGTAGACATTGTGTCACTATGCAGATACGTCCAGACTGCACCACACTTTTGAGCATGTGTATGAGTACAGTATACACACGCAGAACATTATTAACCTTTGGGAGAGTGCGTTGATGTGGGTGAATATGAGGCTAATTAAAGAAGGCAGCAAAAAGGCACACAGCTAATTATCTGCAGGAAAAAAAAAATTCTAAGATGTGAGATTAGATTAACCCACGTTTCTGTTTTCAGTGATATTCTTCAAGAATCCTATGGCTGCACATTCTGGTGTCTCTCTGCAGCAAACCAATCAAGAGGGAAAGTAGATTTAAAGAAAAAGCGTCTTCCAGGCTGTCAGCAGAGTCTTTGCATCATATTTAGACTAGAATTAACAACCTTTTGTCTTCTGTCCGTGGTAATGCCATGACTGTGACTTATAATTCATTTCATTTTCACATTAGATTCTGCGAAAGGAGCTGGCCAAACCTAATCCCAATAAGTGACGGCAGGAAAACCTCAATATGTGAAAAACTTGAAACATTTATCTGAGGTTTTCTCATTGACTGTCAAGATAACATAGTTGCCTCTGAATTAAATCTAAGAAGCCATGCTTATCATATACAGTTTAGGCAATATCCATAATTTATTTGAAGGCAGTGGATAGAAATATAAGATTGTGACATTAGGCCGGTAGCTTTGACAAACCAACCCATTTTATTTGCTTGTGTTAAAGGTGGAGAAAAATTGTTGATATCTGAACTCACACCCCAACAAATACACCCCTCCCATCAGTGCTCCTTCAGAAGCTCCATTTCACCATTTCTCTTGCTCCCACTGCCTTTTCTTTACGCATCGATGAAGTCCCCCGTCCTGTGCACAATCATGCAAGCCCCCTGTTGCTGATTGGCTTGAATAATGTTTTGTTGTTCAGTCCGAGCCCCTTTGTTTGTTTCCCATTTACAGAGCCAGGGCTGTGTATGAACACCAGCACACACACAGAATGGACAGCAAGTGGGTTGTAAGGAGATATTCCCTGAATTTGGATTAGAATCACAGACTCCACCTTTACCTTCTGGTGCAGGATGAGAAATCTGCACCAACCCACTACGTGAAAAATGCTTACAATGCATTTATGGGCTTGTTTGAGAGATTCATTAACATGTGAACATGTTACAGCTGAACGCAAGGAGTAATGTAAAAAGTCCTCGGTCTCAAAGTTGAGTCTTCACCTCTGTTTTTGTCCCTCTCCTTTATGCAACATTATATGCAGAGGACATGATAGGGATATGCGGTATACACCCATCCATGGTGACGGAGAGCATCGACAGGCAACATACCAGACAACAGCATGGGGTCCTTGTCTGCACACTTCTTGACGTGGTCAGACTCTCCAGTCAGTGATGACTCATCGATCTTCAGGTCATTGCCCTGGATCAACACTCCATCAGCGGGAAGCAGATCACCTGCGACAAAAGAAATGGCAGAGTTGCTATCTGCAGTGGATTTATTTACATTTCCTAGAACAATAAAACAGCTCAGACAACTCCAAAGATTCATTTTGGGCTTTGAGCGAATTTTAGACAGAATAGATTGTGACCAACATAGTATATACTCGGTTCAAGATGTGAGTGCGTTGCTCCGTGTATGGGTTTGTCTGCAACTAATTAATTTCTCAACATTAACATACCATTGCTTAAATATATTTAATTGCAGAAGATTGACGTCACAACTTTAATCCCCCTCTGGAAATGAGGTGGAAGTCTATTTTCAGCCACTGAACCATGAAAATTACTTTACACAGAACAATGGACAAGCCAATCGAGGCACGTCCAACCATACCAAAGTTATCAAAATGTTCTGGGAAGTTTGGTTAATTTTACTTAACTCTGTCTCAGTGTTTGAATTAAGGACATCATTGAAATAAATAATGAGTTGATGAAAAAGTTTTGTGGTATCAAGAAAAGGCAAATGGGGTGGATGTCAATAAGTCACAGATCATTTAACAATATAAATAGATACAACAGAGACATTGAACACCTACAAAATAATGTGCAAGATAGGGGGTACTCGGAAAACAAAATGTGTTACATATTTATGTTCCCAGGAAGATGTTGGAAAGATGTAGGAAACAGTACTGGTGTCATAGAAGTTACTGGAATAAGCCAAATGATCCATGCTTTCATTAGCCGCCTTGGCGTTCGGTATAAAAGGTATGCTGTGGACTGGGGGGACAGAGTTGTTTCACCTTTAAACCAACAGCCGAGGTAGTAAAAGTCCCAAATCTGCGTGTGTATAAAAGGGACAGCTGGTAGGACGGGACCATGGACGAGACGGGTGTAATGTTTTGACAATGTGTTATGCTTGTGACCCACTGTGGGAGATTTGAAAATTAGTTAGTGGCTAACTCTAAGAAGAACAGCGGCTGAAATGTCCTCAAATGGGGAACACAATGAGGTGAGGGAGCTCCTGTTGCTAGGCTATGCCATTGTGATTGTTTAGGAAGTGCTGCCGACATTTATGTTACATGTCACACTAAAGGCTGAACCTGTTGTTTCATACATGACGCCTGTCACACCTTTTTTGCCTCCACAATGCCAATACGCTATCTGAAATCACACACTGGGGCAGCGTGATGCAGCCGTTTGGTTCTACGTTAAAATGCAAAGGTGGCATAAAGAAGGTAGTTCGTAGCGGCCCTATAGCGCAATAACTGTATAAAAAGGGCTATTGATAACTTGTTTGTTAATATTAACACTGTTTGTTTAGGACTGTCTGTATGTATAAACAGCACAGTATAAGAGAGGCTGCGGCAACAAAAGAATCTTCCAGTTCATGTTTGATCAACTTCAAGTTCCATCTCTTGAAGAATTCTGTTTCAAAGCTCTGTGAACTATGAACTTGCACTAAGAAGATATTTGCCTAGTGAATTTATTCCATTACTGTATATCTAATAAACTAAGTACATATCTAATAAACTAAGTACACTCTAACACGCACACGCACAGTTTGACAATCTCCTGGCACCTACCATATTTGATCTGCGCAATATCCCCGACCACTATGTCTGCCACGGGCAGCTGTATGACCTGACTCCCACGGACCACCTGGAATTTCTGCTCCTGCTCGATGCGGCTCTGCAACCCACGGAACTGCTTCTCCTTCGACCAGTCGTTGAAGGCCGTCACCAGCACCACACACACCACAGACAACAGGATAGCTGCACCCTCGATCCAGCCGGCATCCGCCTCGCCCTCGTCCTCTACCCCACCTGCCGCTGCACCACAGGCTGCAGTAAGGTAATGGTGACAGAAAGGAGAAGAGGAGAGTTATATAGATGTCATACATTTGTAATCACATTGTGCTTTCATACATGGATATAGACTGTAAGTTATATGTCGAAACATATATACACACTGGACATCAACTCCATACTTTTCATATACGGGTACATATACTTGTATATGTGTAGAGTATAAGCACCTCATATTAAAAGACACACAAAGCTCATACTGAAGTTAATGTGTGCAATTTCTCTGCCTGTGTACAATGTATGTGATATAAAAGACAACTCTAAAATAAAATTAAATCTGGCTGAAATGACCTTCCGAGAATTCACTCGCCCTCGCCTCTTCATTCATTTGCTCCACTTCAAATGAATGCCCTGCAGTCCACTGGATGTGCGCTGACAGACTGGGGTATATTTGGGAATGAAACAAGGCCTATTCCGTTCGCCGCGTGCTGCTTCATGTACTACTCTAGGAGCCATTGTGTCTTAAGACTCCTGGCTAGCTGACTTCAAAAGCCCCTGGTGGGGTGATTTTGCTTTGGACTATAAAACACTTGCAGTTCACAAGGGAACTAGTGCAGACCCCGTATTATAGACGTTACATATGCAGGGCCGGATTTAACCAAGAACCAGACTCCGAAAAGCAATTTCGACTTACTGCTGCACTACAGAGGGGTTCCAATCAATATGATGTTCATTCAGTGGATTTACTACATACAGTCACAGAATACACCCTCCTTGATCTGTAAGACTACCAGTACACATGCACAAACATGTAATCATACATTCATGTGTGTTTTAGCACAAAGAGAGACATTTTTAAAACATTTAGTAATTCTAATTTAAAGCACTAATTCATGTACAATTACCATCATTACCATTTATCTATTTTACTGAAAGGACCAAACACTTGTGAATTACTGCAGTATATCTCTTCAAATCATTTAAAAGGATGAGTTCAGCCTGTCCTGTTTGGTCACTGCAGCACATTAACGGTAACACAGTGAGTGCAGTAGCTGTCCATGGTTCTGACTGCACAGCTCTTACTATTCAGACATGTGCATGCAAATGAGTGCACAAACCGTGTTCTTGTCTCTCTCATAGAAAGAGGCACAGTATCATGCAGCACGTTTGTAGCTATCCGTAGTGCTGAAGGGCCAAATTTGTGCAACACTCAACCCCAAAGCATGAAATATTATAACTAATACAGCTGACTGAGAAACTTCTATAACTAGATGAGATGTAAATAAATAAATTAATAAATAAATGTATATAAGCTTCAAAGACACTTGACCATATTTGTTTCTACTGTTCAACTACTTAGGCTATTTCCTTTGTATTTTCCAGGGCTTTGTTGCATGTTGTGTGTTTGATACAGACACAATTAGGAGCCTCCTCATTCAACTGCAGCCAGGCTGTTTCATATGTAAATGAGAATTAAGTCATCCCACCACCTTCTATTTCTGGAGCGTTGAGCTTTTTTTGACCTATTAATAAACAAAACAGCAAACCAGCAGCGAGAGATGTGTGCTGGTGTATGTACGCACGTGTGCAGATGGTGTGACACTTGCTTTATGGACCAGAAATTTCAGTACATAACGGTTTTATGGGCTCCAATATTATGGGTTTTTGACTGATATTTTTCTTCTACATGAAGTTTAAGCATTTTTGTTGTCTTATATTTATAGTCATTATCTCAATGATTTAATATACAGTTAGGTTTACTTTCATATGTACTGTTACTATCATTTAATCAGCTTTATTATACCAAGAAAATCCCTAAGATGTGTCATCCCTAAGACGGTAAAGTCAGCTATTAAATATCTTGCTGTGCTAAATTTGAGGAATCACTGTCAGAAATGTTTGATTATATTAAATATTTGTGTGAAAGAGGAGTTTGTGCTCTTAAAGTTAAAGTGCCACTCTGCATGTCGAAACATCCTTACATCCCTGCGTCCGTCTCTCCTCTGTTAGACACATATCCATTTGGTGTTTTCTGAATTAGGTGATTCAAAGCAGTATGCATTCATATCTTTCTGAATAGCTCTGCTATTCACATTTATTCATATCCCCAGGAGTATATGCGCTAATTTAGATTCATATATATTCATATCATTCAAATATGAGAAGAGACTTGCACATTGGCACCTTTTTTGCCTCGAGTTAAAGAGAAGCTTGATTATGTATCTGCAGATGGATGCAGTTATTAGCATAATGATTCCTCTGGCCATTCTCTGCTTTATTTGGACTTTATGATGTAGAGAGCTCATTCATGAAGGAATGCAGCTCAAAAGAAGCAAAAAAAGAAGCAAAGTATAAAGGGAAACATTAGATCAAATCACAATTAAACAATAATTTTATTACCTGAGTATTTGGCTGACTGAGTAAATCATTAATTTACCTACTCATTAACTTATTCTTAATCTTAATCAACCTACTAAAAATTTGATTAACCGCCCATGCAGGTAAGACAGTGGTAACTCTTTTCCCTCTTTCTCTGCTATTTCTACCTTTATAAGACTTTTTTAAACCCCCTAAAAATGATGACTGGTCCCTTTGGCAGGATAACTGAATTCCATTACTGTGATAATGCTGGGAGCAATGACTGATGTCGCTGACTCAGCACCTCGTTATGGTCTCTGTCTTCATTTCCTGTTTCACGGCTCACAGGGCTGATGTATGGGCACTGGGAGCTCAAGGTTATTTCTCTACTCAACACTTCATTAACCTTCCCCTGTACCTTACACACACACACACACACACACACACACACACACAAATTACCCCTATGCTCGATGAATCGCTTGATCTCTTGAGGCAGGTCACAAACAAAGTGTGACCTGCCTCACCAATTAAAAAGTGTGTGTGCATACATGTAGGTGTAAGTGTGTCAGCGAGTGCCAGTAATGTCAGAGCAAGTGATGTCAGTGGGCCAATGCAATTATAGCCATTTGCTGTCCTGTGCAATAGTGGAAATACCTGGTAGATAACTGTTATAGTGTGTGTGTGTGTGTGTGTGTGTGTGTGTGTATGTGTCTCAAGACCTTGAAACTAATGACAAGGTAGAATTTTAAAGGAAGTGATGTCACAGGAGCTGCTTCACTCACACTCTCCGTTGCTCTCTCCGGGAGGGTGGTAGAAGGAGAGCCCCAGGGAGATCAGGGCAGCGATCTCCAGGATGATGAGGGTGACGTCCTGCAGGGCCTCCCATACCAGCTGCAGGAAGGTTTTTGGCTTCTTTGGAGGTATCAGGTTTTTACCATATATTTCTTTTCTCTTGTCCAGGTCAGGCAGGGCACCTGCGAGACCTGAGAGGGGAAGACACAGAAAGAGAGGGAGAAAGGAAGAAAGAGTTAGAGATTCACTGATTTTATTGTGTATAATAAAGGCACACTTTGCAGGATTTGCCTTAAAGACAATGTAAAATACATAAATAAAGGCGCTGAGGTGAGGTCAGGGCTGGCTTTAAAAATAAGGCAGCGACCAGGCGCCAGACAGTAAGCAGTACGCATCCAAGAGATACAGCACCAACAATACTGTATGGTATACCTTTAAGGGTTAACATGACATCAGCAAACACCTGGTGTATTTCTACATTTGATCAAAAAGAAAAAAAATTCTAACCATACACAAAAAGTATTTGAATGCAGAAAGAAACTGCAGATGAATCTGCCGTCTTCTTACAGTTTTAAGACATTTTTTAATGTGATCTCCAGCCAGCTTTGAAATCGATCTTTTCTTTTTGCACTTTCTTTTTTCCTTCCTTTCTTCTTCTCTATCTTTCACTCTCACACCACATACAAACCAGCCCTAATTACCAGCTTGAGTCATGGTGGGGCACGGCACTGCGTTCCTTATATAATTCTGCTCAAGAGACAAGGGCCTCGTGCTTTGACCTCATCCACCTCCTCACACACCATGAACTACTGTACATAAATATCTTTGGCTCTTTTATCTGAAGAACTTTACACTTGCTAGAGGGACAATTTACTTTTAGAAATACTGTCCACAAAATTATCCTCATGCAGTATCTAAAATAATGCAGCAAAAGAGTCAGTTATATCAGATGTAGTGCAACAGTTTGTACATTTCGTAATCCAAACAGCATTACCACATGAGGAGCTTTTTGAATGCAATTGTTACTTTTCTAAACTATTGTTCTTGATATTAAGTCATGTTTACATATTAAACAGATCGTTACAGCAGGAAATACTGTTGATTGTTGCTTATTTTGTTTGCAATTCATGATTTCTCAGAGTCTACGCTGACATCCTTAAACAGCTTGTTTTATGATAGACAGTCCAAAACGCTTCTCACTTACCACTCGATAATTAAAACTTAACCCAATCATATTCAAGGGTCACGGGCTGAGCATGTATGATTTTTGATATATCAGTTTTTAGAGGAGAAGATCAAATTATTATAACCTCAATCGACATAGAACAGCCAGTATTTACGCCCATCGAATATGTTTACATCTAGAAGGTAGAAAAAGATTTGCTGCCATGCAGATGAGTTGCTGTAGGACTTTCTGCCAAGTAAACTAAAAAATCTGAGTATTTTTTAACTTGGACCATATTGTCCATTGCTTTTGTGTCTAGGTGACAAATGGGAACAACATTTTTTGAAACTGGTCCAGTATTGAGCGAAAGCAGCAGCCAGGCTCCACTGTAAACACTCCGGACATGTTCATACTGTAAATTTCCGTCCACTAAAAGTGTGTTTTTGCCACTGACAGGCTCAGATTGTAATTATAAGTGCTTGACATTATTGAAAGGATCCCTACAGAGACAGACCTTTTTGTTAATAAGATCTAGGGTTGTGTATTATTAGAAGGGTTGTTTCACGATGTCTTTTTTAAATGATGATGCAATCGCGAGGTGTGGGGGGGCGAAAGCGCGTGTGTGGAGCATGCTGACGAGATCGAGAATGAGGCTGAGTGAGAGGAGACAGAGGGAGGCTGCTTAGTGAGAAAGCGGAAGGGGGGGAGGAGGGGATCAACGCCTCCGCCCGCTCGACACAAGCATACTTGGGCGTACTATAAGTGGAACGGACTCGAGGAATGGCCGCAGTCATTCGGGCTTCCATAGTCGAACGCACTTCCGCATTGTAGTTTCCTGTAAAAACGTCCGTGAAAAATCCCTGCGACGTGAAAAATACATGCTGAGCAGTCACTGGTGCGCGGAGCCCGCGCGGTCGTAAAATCTGAGCTTTGCGCGCACAGGCCTTCCAGACGTCCGCTTTGAGTCCGCGCGGACCTCCGCGGTGTCCGTTCCATGTATGTTCCGCCCGAGTATGTTCGGGCCTTAACGCGCATGTCGCGGAGCGGTGAACAAACCAAACAACACAATGTCAGGAGAAATTGAAAAGATATGCCGTCTATGTAAAGTCAACTTGCTAATTAAGGAGCCATTACATGTTCAAGAGTTTTATAAAGCTGCTCAAATGCCAAAGAGAGGCTATAAGTGAATGTTTCAGCGGCGAAGCGAAATGCCCCCCCCCGGCGATGACATCAATCATCGGCGATTTCACTAGATGGCGATAGGACGACAGGATATGGACAAGATCGCCCAACTCTAGTAAGATCCCTTTCGTTTAACCAGAAACAGCCTCAAAATCACTATCATCAAACCCACCAGACTCCATTTAAATAAAGAGTAATTTATCATAGTGAAACACACTTCATTTGAAGTGCACAGAAACTAAACAGATCTCACAGTAACCATCTCAGTTTGTCTTTCGACTGTTTTAACAATAACCAGCTCTGGTTTGGTTAAGATAAACTCTGTATTCATGAAGTAAGATGTAAATATATGCTGGCTCTATAAAGGCTAGAATTACTGATTATTTAAATAGAGTTTGGTTGGTTTGGCGATGACGATTTTAGGGCTGTTTCAGGTCAAACAAATGATCTAATGCTTTGTCCAAACAGTGTTAGATTGTTGAGCCACTGGTAAAAAATAAATGAGCCTCCATGGACCTGTAGTTCTTGAGGTTGCAAATCCCCGTGTGATAACATTATAGCATGTAGCATCCTCAAATCATAGGCTAATGGCACTAAGTAATGTTAGTGCTGCTATACTGTCTAAAAATGTGCATGGAATTTACTAAAATATGCAAGTCTATTACATCGTAGTGTTAATGGCTGTAGGGTACTAATATTATAGTGATATTATAGTTTATATAATTGTCTTTCTTATGGGAGAAATGTGCTCTCCCAGCATTTTCAGGCTGGGGGAAAGGACAAGTTCCCCCTCGTTGACTCTGCCCTCATCATGCCCGCTAACTATGACTAGACACAGACTGTATCTAAAATTACTGTGGTTGATTTTACATATGTTATCTGCATTCCAATATTATATAATAGGCATTAAAACTGAGTATAACTAACCCAAGCTGCTGTACTTTATATTAATAACTGTTCATATATTAAATCACCTTTGTTACAGCTACTATGAGGAATGAGTCGGAGTAAGCATCGTGGCAATGCAAATGTATGCTCTGTATTTTCAGTTAAAAATATTTGTAAAGGATTTCTGTCAACCTACATTATTGGTTTCTATCTGGCTGCTTTTCAGTGCAGTGCCATTATCTGGTTGCTGAGCGCGCACACACAGTGTGTATTCACCGTCTCTCTGTCTCTGTGTCTCTCTCCCTCACAACCACAGACATTACCACAGCATTATGTCATGCATGGTGCGTCACTGGGTCTCCCAGGAGTGGCCCTGGATTGCACCTGATAACATCGCTGCTGCATGACACTGTTTTCACATGTGAATGCAAATGACTGTGAGATGACTTATTAACATCTGCAGAGAATACTTGATGATCTATCTGCATCAACCAAAAAAGGGTAAAAGACAGAGATAGACAGAGATGCGTGAAAAGCAAGTGTGCAGATGCTGCAAAACACGAGAGGAAAAATGAGAATAGAGATTAATTTCACTTGCGTGGAAAAAGAGAGGGAGAGCAACAGAGGAGGAGAAGGAGAGGACATAAGGAGGGCAGGCTGAAAAGAGAACAATTTCCAGCTCCTACGTAGGAGAATGCCCTGGTTACAAATAGATCAGTCTATAAATAGCCTCATTATCCATTCTCTTTTAATTGTCTCTGTGAGAGGACCTAGCATGCTGTACCATTGATCTCCACAGCACACTGCCTCACATAGCACACAAACATGTCTGTGTGTCCATGCATGTGTGTGTATGGGTCTGTGAGTCGTGACTGGCTGCACGTGCTTTGTGTGTGTGTGTGTGTGTGTGTGTGTGTGTGTGTAATAAGGCTGGCTAAGCATGCCGGCAGTTGCTTGCACTATCACACAGTAAAACTGGAGCTCATATGATCAGGCTTTAGCCAGTTCCAGTTGGTTAGATACACAGGCACGCACACCCACACACACAAAGGCACACACAAGCACAGATGCACATATTTATACATATCCACACTGTGTAGAACCCCCTCTATGTTTTTTTTTAGCTCGGTCAGGTGCACATCAGTACAACATTCACTTGTATTTTTACCCGTTACTGCATCCACAGAATTCTTAAAAACAACAAATACATATGCTAATCCTCCTACTCCACATTTTGAGCAGCCGTCCAGAAGCAGGGGAGCTAGTTATAACATGCAAATGCGCCATTTTGTGTAAAGGCAGCAATCATTTCACATTAAAAAACAACACACTGCACACACTTAGCTGTTTCTGCCATGTGACAGGTACCTTTGTGTAGGAGATGGTGCATCAGTTCTGCATGACATCTAACCTTGTTAAATGTTTCAACTCCTGAAACACCCTTGAGATGTGAGCTATGCTGTAATCAATCTCCCTAATCATTAAATACTCATTGCTTCCTGGAAAGTCCTCTGCTACATTATCATTCCTTCCTGGATAGCTGATTGCAATGCTGCTTAAGATTCATTTGCCAGATTATGAAATATTGTAGGCTAAATACTGTCAGCCCACCTAACTGCTCTGGCAGTGGATTTTGAGGAGGCAGTGAGAGGGCAGAAAAACTGTGGCGATACACAGATGAGTCACAGCAGTCTCACAGAGGATTAAGGGTGATTGCAAAGGAGTCTTTGTGCTAGAGTCCATCACTGAGTAGTGAAGCCTGAACCGACTTTGTACCAAACATACATGAACAATAAATGGGAGGGGACTCTTCGCTCTATATAATGGGCAATTTATTTTATGAAAGCTCACTGTAATTGTTGTAATCAAAGTTCAAACGGTAAAAGCTTTCTGTAAAGGAAATTTGAGTCAACCAATAAAAAAATTACTGTAGATGAGAGATGATGCACTATCGTT